ATGACTCCAGCCCAGGGCACTGCACGTGGCAGGTGCTCCATCACACCCACCAATAAGTGGATTTCCACAATTCACAGGCTCACTTAGGGAATGTCAGTAAGTTTATTAGTGGATAAATTCAGATTTGCATCACTAATATTTTCTATTGCTCTAAGGCATTTATATTAGCTGCGGCCTTTCAAAGGTTAACCAGAGCCCAGCTCTCAATGTCCAAAGTATTGTGTGTACAATCGATTGGTACTTAATCATCTACTGCTTGACGGTTTCCTAGTTTTATCCAGGCTTTGAGAAACAAGTTCCAAAAACAACATGCCTGATATTCATCTCTGAGGGACCAGTGAATAAAAATATCTTAATAAAGAAAGCCAATAGAAAACAAAGGAGTCTTGAATCTGAAACCCAGTTCCTGGAACTCCATAAGACAGTTGAAGTGTTTACGCAAAAGAAAGTGCCACATAAGTGGCAGATCTGGAAGCCAGAGGACATCTGGAGGTGGCATTTAGGACTGACACAGAAAATGTCTAGGGCTTCTCAAATGAAAAGCACTCCACAAGAACAAAACATATTAGTCACCACAGAAGCTGAGTTGAAACTTGGCCTTGAGCAAATTAACCCTCTGCTGATTGCTGGCCAAAATGCTTAGCTAAAGACTTTCATTAACCGCACTTAAACATGTAACCATAGTCGGCAAGCATCTGGGACACAAATCTATCACAGAGCCAAGAGGGAGAGTACCTGGGGATGTATGTACGGTGACTCTGAGGGGCATTAAGAGGTTGAGAAGATGACAAAACCATAACCCCTAAACTGTCCTCCCCAGAGACTGCACATCCTGGGCCAGCATTGCTCTCGTCCCCAAGTGAGGTCCTATCTCATCAGGAAGGCCCGCCCAACCAGCCAAGATACACTTGACCTACCAACACCTCTCACTCTGCGACCACATGACAGCTTCACGGCGAGGGAGGAGAAACAGGGCCAGTGCAAAAGCCCAGAAGCAAGCTGCCCTGCCATGCGAAGGGCTTGGTGGACACTTTTCCTGTGAACTGAAAGCTCCAAATAAACAATTTCTTTTTTCCAAACCCTGTGCCTCCCAAGTGTATGCAAATTCCCAGTAGATGAATTCCAATTTTCAAAGCTGACCACCACGGGGAAAGCACCCTTTGCAAGACTTCTGGGCAACAGCCAGAGGAAGCAGAACAGACTAAGATGAAAAACTGTCTGATGGCCCTTTCCTTAGCCAGGGGTTCCCGGCATTTTGTGCCTAGAAACCCTGACTCCCTGACACCTGTACTCCCAGCCTCCCTCCACTCTTTGGGGGCTTTTGTTCCTGCTTCCAAGGAGCCAGGAAGGGCCGGACTCCACCTGAGTCCACCCTTCGAGGCTCCTGACCAGCATGCTGGGTACCTAGGAGGACCACATCCATTTGCATCCCCCATCCCAGAAAACCACAGGGCAGGTGCTGTGGGCCAGGCAGACCCGGCTCTGAATCTGGGTTTTGCCTTCTTTCCCTTTGTTCTCAGCCTTGGTTCCTGCACCTGGAAATTGAAAACCATAATGTCTATCTCCAGAATAGTTTCACATACTAAGACAAGGTTTAAAAGGCTTAATAAATAGAGTTTGTTAATTATTTTTTTCTTGTAAATTACTAATGATAGGCAAAAATGCAGGGGTGGGGATTCCTCAGTGGCTTCCCACTGCACTTTAGGATAAAATTCCAAGTCCTCACCCAGCCCAGGAGGCCCTGCTCAACCTGAGCTTGATCGTTCTTTAGTTCCTCTTGGTCCCCTGCTGGGCTCAGGCCTTACCACACCGGCCTCTCCACTACTCTACACACTCAGTTCATCCCCACCTCTGGGCCTGTAATCATGCTGTTCCCTGCATCCGGCACAATTTCACTCCTTTTTTTTACCCTCAAGTCCTAGTGGAAAAGGCTCATTCCTAGAGTGACATCCCCAGACTCCCACAATCTTAGCATGGCTCTGATCTCTGTCTCATGACATGCTCTTGTTTTTGTTTAAAGCACTTTCCGCAATTTATAAGTATGTATTTACTTGTGTTTAACCCCCTCCCCCACCAACCTCCCCTTATGGACCAAATGTTTCTGTCCCCCCAAAGTTCATATGTTGAGGCCTTTACCCCCAACACGATGGTGTTTGGAGGTGGGGCTTTGGGTGGTGGTTAGGGTTAGATGAGGTCATGGAGGGGAAGCCCCTATGATGGGATTAGTGCCCTTGTAAGAAGGGACAGGAGAGGGCTCTCTCACATGCCAGGAAGCAGGCCGTCACCACACCAGACCACGCTGGCACCCTGATCTCATACTTGCAGCCTGCACATTGGTGAGAAAAAAATGTTTGTTGCTTAAGCCACCCAAGCTATGAGAGTTTGCTTTAGCAGCTGGGTCTGTGTCATTCATTGCTGTAATCCAAGTACTTAGACTCCTGGCACCAGCAAGGTCTTCTGATAATATCTGTTGAGTTGATGTGTTGCAGAATTGAAGCCCGAAATCCCAAGAGGAACCAGGAGCTACAAATAGCTTTCTAACAGAGCCAGTAAAGCACTTCACACCCATGGGAAAGCCAGAAAAACAATTCCAACCTCATTATCAGAAGTGCAAATGCACCCACATCTCACTCAGTGTGAATATGCCTTTCTACCCCCACCTCCCCTGCCACCCCAGTTCCCTTGACCCAGGCCTCTGAAAAGATCGCCAGGTCTTAAGAAAAGACAAAAGCCACGGGAGCCTAAAGGGGAGAGAAGACAAGTAAGGAATTTTTTTTAAAAAGCTGGTGTACTTAGAATAGGCCACTGCACTTTTGGTGGAATATTGTTTTAAATACTGTCACTGTCCACCTGAGTCCCATCCTGGGAACATGCAGGCCTGGTTTCTGTCTTCTGAAACATTTCACACACCTGTCTGGGTGAAGGCATGTTTTACTACACCCAGGCCAACAATCTCAGTGCACCGAGATGACATTTATCTCAAAACAAACATGGTGATCCACCTTAATAAGGTTAATCAATGCCAGTATCAGGCGTTTGGGTTTTTTTTTTTTTTCAGTTGATATTAGATCAACCAGTATAAGCAATGGTTGAAATTTAAAAGTTATGTGGGGTGGGGCAGGAAGAGGGAGCTCCTGCTTTCACTTTATAAGCAGGCAGGTCTTTGGAAGCTGGGGCCCTGTTTCCAGAAATACACCTCTACACAGAGCATAAGCACATGCATCTGTTAATTACAGGAGGTGGACGTGGGGAGCAGGCAGAGTGAGCAGAGAGGGAGGGGCCCTCGCTGAGCACGAGGGGCAGTGGGTAAGAATAGGGCCTCTGCTTCAAGTCCTGCCCACAGCTCTGTCTTTGACTTTGGGCTAGTTATTTAATCTTGTTGAGCCTCACTTGTCTCATCTGTAAAATGGGGAGAAATGGTAACTATTGCATAGGGTTGGTGGGTAGATTCAATTAGATAAAAACAAACGAAAAACCTAAAGCCCTTAGACCAATGTGGCACAAAGTAGGTCTATGTAAATGCTATTATTATTTAGGGTCTACCAGATCAGACCCATCATCGTTTCATTTAATCAAATCAAGCCACAAACCAATCCTTCCAGATAGGTAGAGTTAATCTCCATTCTACAGGTACAAAAGCTGAGGCTCATGAGGATTTGGAACCTTACCCAAAGTCACACAACTAGGAGATGGCAAGACCAGCACTGGAACCAAAGTAGCCATCAAAATCATTGTGACTGTACTAATCACTACTCACTGAAAGCCAGGTGGTGTGCTGAGTGCTTTGCATAAATCAGCTCATCAAATACTCAAAACCACCCTGCAAGGAAGGAATTATTATAACTATTTTACAAAGGAGGACACCAAGTTGGAGAGGTTAAATATCCTGACTAAGGTCACACAGTTAGTGAAGGAACAAAGTAGGGGTTTGATCCCACTTCTGACTCCCAAACCCACTGTTGCTTCCATTTAAGTCCTGCCTGCCTGGTATGCATCATAGATCTCGTATCTCCACTTGACATCCTCAACATGCTTGATTTCATGTTAAATATAAAACACTGCCTTGGCGAATGGAGTCCAGCACTGAATTGTCAGAAGTTAGGATATTCCCAAAGAAAAGCCTAGCTTTCCATTCAGTTCCTTCCAGGAGGTTTGGTTTTGAGGCCATAGACAGCAATTTGGGAATGTGCTACAACAAAGCCCGCGAGGTTCTTAGTCATTAGACCTTTCATCTTTTGGGAATTAGAACAACACAAATATTCTCCCAAGCAAATCATCATTTGCTCCCAAGCTCTTCTACCGTGTAAGGAGTTCCCTTAGCAACATGCGACTGCCCTACCCAGTCGCATGTGGCTCTGAAAATATCCACCAAGTGACTACATCCTCCCAATTCATCTTGCCCTAACCTGTATGGTGGCAATGACACAACAAAGGGCAAGGGACATCAACAATCTGAAATACAGAATAATGGTGAATTTTTCACATTTTATTAAAATATCAATCTACCAAAATCTGGTGCTCACTTCACAATTACCTGGGAACTTATGTTGACCTATTTATTAGTTCTTTAAACTATAGTGTTCTATAATCTAGAGGAAAATGACCCCTCAGCAAACAAATTCCAAAGTGGCACTGTACAGGAGAGTAACCTATCAATTTTAACGAAGTGTAACACAGAATTGCTTTGTTGCCTCCAAAGATGAGAATCCCTTCTCAGGGAACTGTGCCCCATTAAAGGGCCAAGGTAAGATCCCCTCAGAGAGGGACCATCCCCACTGGCTCAATGGCTCCGGAGACTGGGAGGATGGCATAAGGGAGGGGTGGTGGTCAGCTTGCCTTGGCCAACCCTGCACAGTAATCTCTGCCCACAGTTTGGTCTGTGGCAGTTCCAGATAAAACACAAATTTAAATAAGAGTTCAAGCCAGGAAGCCTTGCTTGAACAAACTTTCTAGCACTGGGTAAAAACCATCAATTAATTAAAATGCCAGTGACTGCTCACCTCTTACCACAAGAGTCAAGTTTGGAAGAAACACCTGCTTTCAATGAACACTTGATGCGCTGAAGAGTTTTTCTAGAAACAAGTTCAGCCCTTGTGGATACATGAAAGGAGGCCCTTTGTGTGACATGCAACTGACTTTTCCCAGAAGTAAAAGAAAACAGAACTTCTGAAAACTTGCAAAATTATCTATAGCTTCTGCATGACAAAAATTAGCATAAGTACAAATTTTAGCTTCTCTATTTCTTGTCTAAAATCTCCCCCCAAAAAATGGCAGAAAAAATTTGTGACTTAACCTGAAATCCTACGTATATATCTTAGATTTTGAACAAATATTGAACCCTTTTCTCTGGATAACAGGTAAGACTTTGATATTCTTGTTTAAGCATATATCAGTGATCACACATAAACTATAAAAACACTTGGTCTTTATGTCAACCTTATTTCACTGTTTACAGCGCTAATGTCTAATCTGAACAATGTGCTGTTACTATCAAAGTGACTGTCTATGATGCACAGAGCGGGTACCAGGTGAAAGTTTCAGCTGGGACACATGTGTCAGCAATTGTAGAATTTGAGTTCTCCCATCCCCAGATTCCTGGCTGTCCCTGGTCATGAAAGAAAGATTCACTGTCCCTAGGCCAAGAGTCAGCAGCGAAACAGGAAGAGCAGGGGTGTGGTCTGAGGATGCTGCCAGCGGGGGAGCCACGTGTGTGTGTCCACATCAATTCCGAGACCCTGTCCAGAGCACAGCTTTCTTGGGAAGCCATTTTCTGATATATGTGGTGATAGGGTGGAGGAAGTCTCAAGACTAAAGACAGCTTTCTTTTGTCAAAAAATTCACTCTATACATGGCGTGAAACTGCATTCCAGAGCCATTAATAAGCCCCGAGTGGTGGGGCTGGCAGCCTAAGATCCCAGACCTCAAAGCACCCAGAGGCCTGAGGGGCACAGAGCCCTCCCCTGAGCAGGACAGCAGGGCAGGGGAAGAGCAGGGGATGGAGCTTTCAGGTGGACATTTCCTGGACAAACACCCTCCCCCACAGTGCCTGTACGAAATGAACAATTGTTGGAGACACACACACACATCGCCACTACTGCGGTTGGTAACCTCTGACACAGCACCTGCCAGTACCACCCACACTGCCGTATGTTTGATATACATTGTCCCACTGAGCGATGTTAACCTCAGAAGATAGTTAATATTTTATGCCTGTTTCACACACAAGAAAACAGGGGCTCAGAGAGGCCAAGGAACTTGCCCCAAGTCACATATCATGGAATCTGAACTTAGACCCAGTTTTGGACCCAAGCTTAGACCCAAGGTTTCGGCTCCAAAGCTTGAACTTATTTCTCCATTCCACAAAAACAAAACCTACTCTTCTCGAAACCTTTAAAAGACCCCTCTTCTACCTCTCTGCTGTGTGTTTTAAATACACCTTGCTTATCGGTCCAGCATATTCAGTAGAAGTCTGTCCCTTGCCAATGGCCCAGCTTGCGGGTATTACAGCCACCTGCCCCTGGCATCTACCCCCAGGTAAGAACAAGGAATCCATTCCTCTCTAACATGCACGGTGGAGTTACTCTTCCCTGAACATGATAGGTAAATTTCAAACAGGGGGCTTTTGGGGAGGACAACCCCACCCTCTGGCAAGCACAGCTTCTGGCTTCAGCCTTAAAACAGAAAGCCCAAAAGTCATCAAGACCATGGGTTTACTGGCTTCCCCAGATTTACTTTCAATTACCAAACAATCGAGTCATTTCCCAGAATGCAGAACCAATGGAGCATCATAATCTGTCATTTCATAATGTTCTTCACAATGTGCCAAAAAACCGTGTGCACATCGGAGGCTTTTTCGAATATGATATTCAGGCGACCCTGCCAAGCATCCTCTCATCTGTCTACTTTGTGGCCCATGAAACCCAAGGGAAGTTCTCACCACGTCCCCAGGACCAAGCAGGACACTGGAAGCAGCTGGCCCGTATGCGGGCGGGACTCCATGAAGGCCCCTGTCGGCCCTTCATCTTCTCTTGGCGGCCACCTTTTGGTCACTCACTGGTCCCTAACCCTGGCTGCACCTTGGAATCACCTGGGGAGGTTTTAAATGGTACAGGGGCCTGGGTCCTACCTCTAGAGATGCTGATGGAGTTGATCTAGGTTCCGGGCTAGGAATCTGGATTTTTAAAGTTCATCTTTCTAACCCTTGCCTTAGACCACAGTGGGACAAACGAGTCCGCTGACGCCGAAGTTCATCCCTCTGAACTTCGGCGGCGTTTCTCAAACCGCCGGGTCTCCTCGCCTTGTTCCACGCCGCCAGCGCAGAGCTGCATTCGCCCGCGCAGATCCCGCCTCCCGGCACCTCCGCGCTCGCGGCGCCCGGGACCCCGGTAAGCGTCTGCCCCGCGCGAACCCCCAGTCGCTAGGACTTACTTGGCCGCCGGGTATGCAGACTTCGCAGCAGCTAGAAGCGAGAGTAAGAGCCAGGGCCGGAGAGCGCCGTGGCCGGGGAAGGGAGGGCTCAGCGCCCGCAACTGCGCAAGGGCAGGGCGGGAGCGGCCGCCTCGCAGGCCCGGAACGGGAACTGGCGGGAGGGCAGCCGCAGCCGCCCCTGGCCGCGCCCCGGAGCCCGCCGGCTGCTGGGAGAGGCCGAGGTGGGGCGGGGCGGACCAGGCAGGGTCCCACTGGGCCGCAGCTCGCCCGGGAGGGGCGTGGGAGGCCGGAGCACGCGGCTCGCAGAAAGTTGCCCCCTGCAACCCCAAGGGGCGCTCTGCGCGGGAGGACGGGCAACCAGCGCCACCGCGCAGGGGCGAATGGGCAGGCCGCGGAGTTCCCCCAGGGGTGACACCCTTGGGAACCCGTCGTGCCAATTCTGACACGGCCTCTCGGAGCCAGGCCAGTCCCCCTAAAAGTGCCAACCCAGCACCTGCAACCAGAGCCAACGCCTGGACGTGATGGTAAAACTTGTTAAAATGTGACACGTAGTCCGGATGAAATCTAGCTAAAAGTAATCACCCTTTCGCTGTTAACAGAGCATATATTTCAATTTATACCTTTTGAAATCTCAGCTTTTTCCTGGCCATAAATCTGTTCTTGGCAGTGTACATTTTATATTCTGTACATATGCTGTAGTGACTTGTAAAGGAGTTTTTAACATGCTAATAAATTTCCCCAATAAAATATTTTTTAGACGTTTTAATTGAGGAAGGTCTACATAAGGCATGTCGATGCTATAATATAAAGGTTGTCACCTGTTCACACTAAAGAAGTACATTTAATCATATGATCACTAATACTCATGCATATTAAAATTCCCATCAACAACTGCCTTCTGAGAAAAAGGAAAGTTGTGTTCCTAAATCAAAAGTGAAACTTTGCAAACATAAAATTGATGAGATACAATGTGCACTGTACACCAAAATGAAGGCTAGGATGCTAATTCCTCCAGTTTATCCTTATATGAACTTCTGGTGGAAAAATTAGACAATTTTTTTTCCCCTCTAGGATCCTGAACTTTATCGTCCATGTTTTTTAACCCTCATTTATATTTTCTATATCCTGTTTCTCTGGCTGCATTCTTAGTAACTTCAGTTCTGCCTTTTGACTCAATAATTACTTTGTAGATGGTTAATTCGTTTTTTAACCCATCTATGGCAGGCAGATTAGCCGTCCCCAATGATGTCCATGTCCTAAACCTGGAACCTGTGAATATGACAAAGGAGAACTAAGGTTGCAGATGAATTTCAAGTTGCTAATTAGCTGACCTCGAGATAGGGAAATTATCCCGGATTACTGAGGTGGGCCCAATGTAAGCACAAGGGTCCTAATAAGTGGAAGAAGTAGGCAGAAGAGAGAGACAGAGAGATGACAACCTGAGAAGGTCTATATTGCTGGCTCTGAAGATGGAGGGACGGGACTATACGCCATAGAATGCAGGTAGCTGCAAAAGGCAAGGAAATGGACTCTTCCTTAGGCCTTCCAGAAGGAATGCAATCCTGCTGACACTTTGATTTTAGCCCAGTGAGACCCGTTTTGGAATTCTGACCTCCAGAACCATAAGATAATACATTGTGTTATTTTAAGACACTAAATTTGTGATAATGTGTTATAGCAACAATGGGAAATTAATATACTATCTGTTTAAGTTCTCAATTTTAACAATAATATATTAAGATTTTCGGGTTCTATTTATAGTTTTCTTGGTCATTTTTAATAGTCTCTGACCTTTGCTGATTCCATCATTTAAAAAATATTTCAGGCCGGGCGCGGTGGCTCACGCCTGTAATCCTAGCTCTCTGGGAGGCCGAGGCGGGCGGATTGTTTGAGCTCAGGAGTTCAAGACCAGCCTGAGCAAGAGCGAGACCCCGCCTCTACTAAAAATAGAAAGAAATTAATCGGATAACTAAAAATATATAGAAAAAATTAGCCGGGTATGGTGGCGCATGCCTGTAGTCCCAGCTACTCGGGAGGCTGAGGCAGTAGTAGGATCACTTGAGCCCAGGAGTTTGAGGTTGCTGTGAGCTAGGCTGACGCCATGGCACTCATTCTAGCCAGGGCAACAGAGTGAGACTTTGTCTCAAAAAAAAAAAAAAAAATTTCATACACGGTTATTTTTGGTTTGTTTTTAAACGTTTTATTTTGAGTTCACTGTAAATTCACATGCAGTTGTAAGAAATAATGCAGAGAGATCCATGTACCCTTAATCCAATTTTCCCCAATGGTAACATCTTGCAAAGCTATAGTATAATATTACAACCAGGACATGAATATTAATACAGTCAAGATACAAACCATCTCCATCACCACAAAGATCCCTCATGCTGCCCTTTATACCACCTCACCCCCTCCTTAACCCCTGACAACCACTAATCTGTTATCCATTTCTATAATTTTTCCTTTCAATAATGTTATGTAAATCGAATCAGACATTATATAACATTTTGGGCTATATTTTTTTCACTCAGCATAATTCCCTGAAGATTTATGCAGGTTGTTGCGTGTATCAATAGTTCTTTCCTTTTTATTACTAAGCAGTATTGCATGGTATGGATTACCACAGTTTGTTTAAGCGTTCATGTGTTGAAGGCCATCTGGGTTGTTTCCAGTTTGGGGCTATTATAAATAAAACTGCTATACACATTCAAGTATGAGTTTATGTGTGAATGTAAGTTTTCATTTCCCTGAGATAAATTCCCAGGAGTGCAACTGCTAGGTCAGTTTCTTAAGAAACTGCCAAACTATTTTCCAGAGTGACTGTACCATTTTACATTCCCACTAGCAATGTATGAGCAATCCAGTTTCATAACACACTCACCAGCATTTGGTGCTGTCACAGTTTTTTATTTTAGCAATTCTGATAGATGTATAGTACTAGCGATACATAATTGGGGTTTTACTTTGCTATTAATGTTGAACATCTTTTCATGTGCTTGTTTGCCACCTCTATCTCCTCTTGGGTGAAATGTATCTTCATGTCTCTTCTTCATTTTCTAATTGAATTTTTTGCTTTGTAGCTGTTGATGTTGAATTCTATATTTGATTTGCAAATATTTTCTCCCATTCCTAGCTTGTCCTTTTATTCTTTTATTAGGGTCTTTACCAGAACAAATGTTTTTAATTTTGATGAAGTCCAATTTACCATTTCTTCCTTTTATGGACCATGCTTTTGGTGTCATATCTAAGAACTCTTTGCCAAGCCCTAGATCACAAAGATTTTTTTACTATGTTTTTTCTTTTTAACCAAAAGTTTTATAGTTGTATGTCAGACATTTAAGCCCGTGATCCACTTTGAGGTAATTTTTATATAAGGTGTGATACTTAGTCAGGTTAATTTTCTTCTTTTATTTTTTCTTTTGCCTATGGATATCCAATAGCTGCTTCAACACCATTCATTGAAAAGGCTGTTTCTTCTGTTAAACTTCCTTTGCACCTTTGCCAAAAATCAGTTGAGTATATTTGTGTTGGTCTATTTCTGGGTTCTCTGTTCTGTTCCATTGATCTATGTGTCTATCCCTTTGGAAATAATAGACAGTCTTAAAATTGGGTAGAATGATTCCTCTCATTATATTCTTCTTTTTCAAAATTGTTTTACCTACTGTAGTTCCCTTGATTTTCCATATAAATTTTAGAAAAATAATCATGCTGGGATTTTGATAGAAATTTTGTTAAACTTTTATATTAATTTAGGGGAGAATTGACATCTTAACTATTGGAAGTTGAGTCTTCCAATCCATGAACATTGTATGCCTTTCCATTTATTTAGATTTTCTTTGATTTCTTTCATCAGTGTTTTATAGTTGTCAGCTTACAAGTCCTGCACATGTTTTGTACAAGTTACACTTAAGTATTTCCCCCTTTTTTTTTTAAAGTGATTGTATATATTGCTGGTAGGAATGTAAAATGGTTCAGCCAATAGGGGAAACAGTTTGGGGATTCCTCAAAAAGTTAAATGTAGAATTACCATATGAGCTAGGTATGACTCCATAATAATTGAAAAGAGATACTCAAATATATGTACACAAATGTTCATAATGGCACTATTCACAATGGCCAAAGGGTGAAAACATTCCAAATGTCCATCAATGGATGAATGGATAAACAAATTGTGGTATACTCACATGACAGAATATTATTCAATCCTAAAAAGGAATGAAGTACTGATACATGCAACAGTGTGGATGAACTTTGAAGACATTAAGCTAAGTGAGAGAAGCCATACAAAAGATCACATATTTTATGGTTCCATTCATATTAAATATATAGAATACCTAAATCCACATAGACAGAAAGCTTAGTGGTGGTTTCCAGGGGCTTAAAGGAGGGAGAAATGAGCAGTAACTGCTTAATAGGTATGTGGTTTTCTTTGGAAATGATGAAAATGTTTTTGTAGTAGATAGAGGTAGTGGGTGCATACATTGTGAATGTATTAAATGTCACTATATTGTTCACTTTAAAATGGTGACATTTTGGTTTATAAATTTCATCTCATAAATAAATTTACAGTTCAAAGAAGCAATTGTAAATGGTATTGCATTTTAATTTCAATGTCCATTTCTAGAATATAGGTATACCACTGATTTTTGTATGTTTCTGTTTTATCCTGTGACCTGGCTGATTACCTTATTGATTCTAGATTTTTTTTAGATTCCTTGGGGGATTTTCTACATAGATAATCATGTCATTTGTATATAGGGATGGTTTCATTAATTCCTTTCTGATTTATATGTGTTTCTTTTCCTTTTCTTTTTTTATGGCATTGGTTAGAACTTCCAGCACTATTTTGAATAAGAAAGGTGAGAGCAGACATCCTTGCCTTGTTCCTAATGTTAGGCAGAAAGCATTCAGTCTTTTACTGTTAAGTTTAATGTTAGCTGTAGATATTTTGTAGATCCTCTTAATCAAGTTGTTGAAGTTCCCCTCTGTTCCGATTTTTCTCAGAATATTTATCACGAATGGGTGAATTATGCCAAATGTTTTTTCTGCATCAATTGACACGACCATATAACTTTTCTTCTTTAGCTTATTAATACATTGGCTTACTTTGATTGATTTTCAATATTGAATCAACATTGCAGGTGTGGAATGAACTCCACTTGATCATAGTGTGTAATTCTTTTTATGTCCTGCTGAATTCTTTGCTAATATCTTGTTAAGGATTTTTGCATCTGTATTAATGAGTGATATTGGTCTGTAGGCTTATTTATTTATTTATTGTATTGTCTTTGTCTGGTTTTGGTATTAGGTAATACTACCTTCATAAAATGAATTGGTAAGGGCTACTACATGCCCCTCTCTGTCTCTGGTTATTTTCTTTGCTCTGAAATCGATTTATTTAGTATTTATATAGCCACTTATTTTTTACTTTGATTGTTTGCATCATATATCTTTTTCCATCATTTTACTTTCAAACTGCTTATATTATTATATTTCAAATAAGTTTCTTGTAGCCAGCATAATGTTAGGTCATATTTTTAGTCCACTCTACCAATTTCTTTCAATTTGCATATTTAGACCATTTATATTTAATGTAATTATTGATATGTTAGGGCTTAAGGCTGCCATTTCATTTTTTGTTTTCTGCTTTTTCTGTTTTTCACTTTTCTGTTTTCCTTTTCCTGCTTTCCTGTGGATTACTTGAACATTTTTTTGGAATTCCATTTTGATTTATTTGTGGTGTTTTGAGTGTATCTCTTGTATACCTTTTTTAGTGATTGCTCTAGCAACTAGATATACATAATTGTTCAGTCTACTGGTGTCATCATTTTACCAGTTCAAATAAAGTGTAGAAACCTTACCTCCCTTTACTCTCTTTTTATAATTATTTTAAATATTACCTCTACATATATTTAAAACCACATAAGGCAGTGTTATAATTTCTGCTTCAACAATCAAACATAATTAAGGAAATGCAAGAGAAAGAACATCTATTATTAATATATTTAGCCATATTTTTGCTTACCATGATATTTTTTCCTTTCTGATTTTCTAAGGTTCCCATTTTTATCATTTCCTTCCTGTTTAGAGAACTTCCTTCAGTCATTCTTTTAGGGTAAGGCTGCTGGCAACAAATTTTCTTCATTCTCCTTCATCTGAGAATGTCTTGATTTTCCCTTCATTCTCAAAGGCTATTTTATCTGGATTCTGGGTTGACAGTTATTTTGTTTCAGCAGCTGAAAAATGTGCCATTTCCTTCAGGCCTCCATGGTTTTGATAAGAAATCTGTTGTTTGAATTGTTTTCTTCCTATAGGTAAGGAGTCATATATCACTGCTCTCAAGGATTTTTCTTTATCTTTAGTTTTCATAAGTTTGACTGTCAGGTGTATTGGTGTAGATTTCTTTAAGTTTATATTTGGGGTTCACTCAGTTTCTTGAATCTCTAGGTTTATGTCTTTTGCCAATTTAGGATGTTTTAGTCATTACTTCAACCTGCTCTTGCTCTTCTCTTGAGACTACCATGACACAAGTGTTAGATCTTCTATTATAGTGCCACAGGTCTATAGTTTTTTTGTTTTGTTTTGTTTTTCTGCAGTCTGTTTTCTGTTGTTCAGATTGGGTAATTTCTATTGTTCTATCTTCCAGTTCATGGATTCTTTCCTTTGTCCCCTCCATTCTGCTGTGGAGCCCATTTATTGAGTCTTTAATTTCAGTTACCGTATTTTCAGTTCAAAAATTTTCATTTGGTTGTTCTTTATCTCTTCTGTTTCTTTCCTGAGACTTTCCATATTTTCATTTATTTCAGGCATGTTATTAATTGCTCAGTGAAGTATTTTTATGATGGCTGCTTTAAAATCTTTGTCAGATAATTCTAATATATCTGTCTTCTCAGATTTGACATCTATTGATTGTCTTTTTACATGTAGTTTGAGATTCTCCTGGTTATTGGAATGAGTGATTTTTCTAGTGAAACCTGAACATTTTAGAGATTGTGAGACTCTAAATCTTATTTAAACTATATTTTAGCTGGTTTACTCTGAAACCACTTCAGCAGGGGAAAGTGAGAGGTACTGCTACAATACTGCCAAGTAGGTGTAGAAGTTCAGGTTCCCCATGTAGTCTCTGTTGTCAGCCAAGGGGAGGGTGCATCTGGTTACTGCTGAAGGCAGGGGGTGGGGTAGGAGTTGTATTTAATAATTCTCCATTAGGCCTCCACTGATACCTCCTTGGCTGGTAGGTATAGGAATACCTTGTAACTGCTCCCCACATGGCCTCCACTGACACCACAGGGAAGGATGGCTTGGTTACCACTGGGAAATAGTGAAAGTCCTGATATTCCACTTGGCCTGATACCACCCCAGTAGGAAGGGCAAAGGGCACCATTACTGCAAGATAGGGGTTTAAGTCCAGGCTTCCCACATAGTTTCCACTGACAACTTGAGGGAAGGAGGCTTGTTACTACGAGGAGGCTCCCTACGTGGCCTTTTTTGACACTACTGTGGGGTTAGGGTGCCTTGTTACAGCCTGGTGAGTATCGAAGTCTAGGCTCCCCTCTTGGTCTTTGATGGCATGAGTAGAGGCAAGGGTCCACAATATTTTTCTGTGGTGTAACTAGAGTACAGCGTTTATTCTTTAAAGGTTTTCTGTCTTGCCAAACTGTCCTTTCCCTAGTCCTTTGACTAGAGAAAGTCGGCTTTTCTTGTTTTGTGTATATGTGCCTGTGCTCACTGGTGCTTTCAAGTTGTTGGCTTCTTCAGCTACAAGTATGAGATGTATGAGGCAAAAGAAAACCCAGGGAATTCAACACCATGTTGTGCCTTGGGTCCTGAGTCCTGGGCTGGCCTGTCCTCCCTCCACCTTTTAGTCTTCTTCTGTTTATTTTATATATAATGTTCAGGGATTTTAGTTGTACTTAACTAGAGGAATAAGGAAACATATGTCTACTCTATCTTCATAGAAGTCAAGGTCTCCATACATATTTATTTTGTGTTCTTTTGGATAATTTCAGTATCTTAAAACTTTGGGGATCTAAATTTGTTTTTATTTATATATTGTTTTTTATGCACCTTCTTCCTGAGATGGGTTAAATTTTTTTCTGTTCTCACTCATGATACATTGTCTTCCTTATTATCTTTCAAATTTTTAAGGGAAATCCTGAAGACCTAAATTAGGATTGCTTTCTCCAGAGAGGATTTGCTTCTGTTTTTGCTGGGAACCACTGGGGGTACCAATTGGAGACCATTTTATTCCTCTTCGAGGGCCCTGGCTTCATACAGAATTCTCCTGTTCAGTTTTCCTGTTCTGTAGCAGGAAGCTCCAGGGTTAGTAGTCCAATTCTAGGGCTATTATTGGCATTTATACCCAAAGACATCAAGATCATTTGTTTACCAGTACTGTTTGTCCTTTCAGCTCACAGTTCTTCTTCCTTCTTTCTTTTTGTGGGGGAGGGGTTGGTTCACCTTGAAGATTTTCCTCATTTTATTGCAAGTCCAGAAATGCTTTTCGAAAACTGTTTGTTATAGTTGATCCAGGATCTGGCGGTATTGTGGTTTCAAGGGCCAAATTCACTGGTAGAAAGGGAAACTCCTTATATATGTTATCTGTATTTCAAGTATTATCTTGAAAACTAGAAAAACAGTATTCCTCATGATTACCGGATTTTTGTTACAAGGACAGACATGAAGATTTTTATTGTTAGCATTTTAAATTCCTTAAGAGTTGCCATTTTAGTTAAGTGAGAAATTAGAATAATATTCCATTCTTAGTACCTACAGCAAAACTGAGCCTTGCTCACTATATTACCTTAAGTGGGTTCTAGAAAGACATAAGAAAGACAAACTTGGTCTTTCTCAGGAGTTAAGAACTAAGAGAAAACTAGAATATTAGAGGGTATAGGAAAATGGTGAGTTGTGGCAGCCATGACACATGGGCCAAATCCTTTAATAAAGGATCCCTTTTAATAAGGAGATTTGTTCTGTGAAGTTTGGATTTGGTCGAGGGGGCCATACTTGGGGATCTGGAGGGCCACATGTGGCCTTGATGCCACAGGTTCCCCATCCCTGGATGGCTCAGCCTCACTACAGAATTGCAACTGTAGCCTGAAAACTCCTTTTGTCATTTTTCCCAAGAGAACAAAACAAACTTTTATTTTATGCTCCTGTAGCTAGTTCACTCACATTCCAGTTCGGAAGGTACAGCTCACTGCATTTCATAGAGACGTAAGTGAATTTTTGAGAGCCAGTATTGCTTTATTCATGACTCTTCTTTCCTCTATTTATTCAGAAAATAAATTTAAGAAGGCCACCGTTTCTTGATAAGCCAACAATCAAACTTCAGCTGCCCACCCCTCAGATTTTCCCTTCATAATCTTGACTCTTCTACTTTAAAATCTTATTCCAAGGATGACCCTGTATAAACTTAATTCTTCAATAAAAACAATAATGATTTTAATACTTACACTCTGCCACATTCTGTTCTAAGCTTATTCCATATGTTTATTCATTTCATCTTCAAAACAATCCTAAGATATAGGTGTTTTAATATCCTTACCTTACAGTTGAGAAAACTGAGGCACAGAGAAACAACCTAAAGTCTCACAGTTAGAAATTGGTGGCACTGACAATTGATCATAGGCTATTTGGCTCCAGAGTCTATACAATACCATTCTAGTATAGACTCTATATGGCCAAGACCAGACCCTGTATGTGTGATGATTTGGGTCTAACAACATAATGAAATGGAGTATTTTAGTAGGGAAAATAGGTTAAACCACAAATACATTTATTCCTCTAAAAACAGTATGCCATCTTTCTAATTTTCAAAATTTTATTATCAACCATCTCTGCAGTTTGCTTACTCTTATTAAGCTGATAAAAAAAATCCCATTAGCTCAAACATTCATGTCAAGAAAAAAATTAAATTTAATTTAAAAATATATATATATTAAAAAAAAAATCACACACAGAGCAGAGCAATTCACCAGCACCATCATCAAGCAAGCTGCAAATCTACCCTTTGCCAGAGAGCAAGAAGACACTTAAGATCTATTCAAGAAAATAGCTTTAGTGTTTACAGAAGGTGTACTACATCGATTTGTCACGCATTCCAGGGCCTCATAGCCCCCTTTCCAATTGTCTAACTCCTAATCCAGTTTCCTTTTATAGTCTGGAAACAAGGAATTACCCAAGTGAGATAGCCTTTCAGAGCACTGATGAAAATGGATTAAACATGGAGATATCCCCATCCCTGTTCTCAAAAGTTAAAAATATTTTATATTAGCACAGAGAGAGAATATCCTTAGATAAAGTCTGTTGTATTCTAATGGGTTTGTGTTTCCCCCTTTTTGATAATATCTTCAATTTCTTCTGAGACCTTTCCTTTATAGTCATTTGGTTCTATTGCTTTTAACTTCTCTTGATACTCCAATGGCAAACCATTTTCTTTTGCACCCATGCAAATAACCTAGAAATGGATAAAACAAATTAGAAAAAAAAAAACCTGTTCATTAGGAACATAATTTAATTTAGCATACCACAGTTTTATTTGCATTGTCAGAGTATGAAATATTAGCTTTCACATAACTCTAGAATAAACAATTATAGAACAAAATACAGTCATTCCTCTCACACTGAGCATGAATATGTAGGGAGTTTTCAAAGCCACATAAAGCATCCTCCTGGAATATCAATTTTACTCAATATGATTCAAAATATTTTTATATTAAAGACAAAAATATCTTATTATATAAAATTTGCATGACCTTTTAAGAAAAAAATATCATTCTTCCAAAAAACTTAAAGTTTATAGGGACAGTTTGGGTTTCAATCCCAGATTCTGCTCTTGCTCTGAATCAGACATGGAGGAATAAATGGTAATTGGGTCCAAGTGGCACTTTCAAGATCCATAGCAGGCTAATTTCTCTAGGCTTTATACCAGAAAATTCCAGATGAGGCCCAGGAACTGGGTTACCCACTACAGGTGCCATGTCCTGATTGGGCCTGACAAGTACCTAAGTTTGGGTTTCTGAAAAGGGATGTTGGGGTCCCTGTCCAACATTCTTATCTTGTGCTTACAGGAGTGGTTTCCGTGATTCTGAAAGGCAGTGTGACTTATCTTTCTCCATCTAGGGATGGAAAACATTTCAGCAGTAGGAAATATATTTCTTCCCCATAAAAATGAATTTTGATATTCATAAAATACTGTTTATGGAAAAGAAAATATTATAAAAGCATATATATAGACTAAATCTATTAAACATATATTTGTTCTTTTCTACTTTAAGAAAGAAAATACATGTCTAGAATTCTGATTCATGTAAATTTCTAAAAGCTTTTTTTTAATTTAAGATTTTTTTTGTTTGTTTGTTTGTTTTTTAAGAGACAGGGTTGGCTGGGCGCGGTGGCTCACGCCTGTAATCCTAGCTCTCTGGGAGGCCGAGGCGGGCGGATTGTTTGAGCTCAGGAGTTCAAGACCAGCCTGAGCAAGAGCGAGACCCCGTCTCTACTAAAAATAGAAAGAAATTAATTGGACAACTAAAAATATATAGAAAAAATTAGCCGGGCATGGTAGCGCATGCCTGTAATCCCAGCTACTCGGGAGGCTGAGGCAGGAGGATCACTTGAGCCCAGGAGTTTGAGGTTGCTGTGAGCTAGGCTGACGCCACGGCACTCTAGCCGGGGCAACACAGTGAGACTCTGTCTCAAAAAAAAAAAAAAAAAAAGAGACAGGGTCTTTTTCTGTTGCCCAGGCTGGAGTACAGTGGTGTGATCATAGCTCGCTGTAACCTTGAACTCCTGGGTTCAAGCAATACTCCTGCCTCGGCCTCCCAAAATAATGGGATTATAGGTGTCAGCCACCATGTCCAGCCTCTAAAAGTTTTTTTTTTTAATAAACAGGGTTTTATTAATATAATTCTATCATTACACATAAATCTGAACAGTATTTTTGAATTTGTACTTTAGGTAAATACCTATTGTTTCTGTCCTTAAAAACATTTTGATTAAAATGATTTAGTCATGTGGAATTTAAAACACACAAAGCCTTTTAAAAACAAGATATTCTTTATTTTATCTCAGTGAAAATTAAAAAGTAATTGTAGAAAGTCTTTGCAAATAGCTTACCTTTTTATACTGCGGTGACGGAGGAGCACTCTCATAATTTGTCATCAGATAACTTCGACAGGTTATTTCTCTTCCTTCTTGAGTTGTAACCTTAACTTCTATTACAACATATGTTCCACTTTTAACCCCTTCTTGCCTGAAACCAGAACAGCCCAATTTTAACCATATTTGACCTAGCCAATTTAGTTTACTGGGTAAGGTCTTTTAGTCAGATAAAGGAGGTATAGCATTAAAAATCTAACTATATGTGGACATACTTGTTCCCTTTGTATTTTGGGATATAGTAGAACATAAAAATACCACCATATCAAATGTAAGTTTAGCATTTCAATTAGAAAGTCTGAGACTTAATATTACTTGGTATATTCCTAACACAACTATCCATCCTGTCTGGAAACATGCTTCAGTATAGTTATTTCCATCTTTATACCCCGAAACATTGTTCTTCAGGCTACAAAAATAGACTATGTGTTCTGACGGCAAGAGAACATCCACCCAGAGAAAAGTAGAGAAGATGGTTCATTCTTGTTCACAAGTGAGGTAAAAGTATAAGGCGTTTGCTCTTCTCAAGGCCTTCTCTTTTCTGCCAACTTTCTGTGTAGGAAATACTCTGCCACACAACTCTGAGAGTTCTAGATATAAAAAGTATCAATGCATCTCTAACATGTTATTAAATGCTTTTACAATTTATTACTTATTTACTGATCCAACTGCCATCTTAAATAATTGTTCTTTAAAAACTTAAAGGGTTTTTAAAATCAATAAAAATACATAACAATTACAAAAATCTTTATGCCTTTTAACAATATGAAACTATAAAGAGAAATTTTTGTAAAAGACAGATAAAACAAAAATTAAGGACTTTGATCTTTTACATAAGAGATTACAAACATCCTCCCAAATCTCAATAAGAAAGTGTGACCTTTCTAGACTTTTTAGCAAACTCACATGATTATACCTTTTACGTTGACTCTAAAGTGTCAAGAATATGTCTATAATATATGGTTTTGAAAACTAACACACATATACACATTCTTGCATATAATCCACTTTCTGAATTAGTTATTTTTTAACTTATAATTAGAAGCTACCTACTCATCCAGAGAATTTAAATTGCTTTTGTTCATTTTCCATACTACTCCCCACACTTCATCGCCAGGACTTTGAAAAATGGTGGCTATACCTCCATGCCAAGTTGGACTTGTTTTGCCTTGGGAATTGCCAAAGTCAAGCTTAAAATCCTACAAAGGAAATCAAAGTGATATGATCAATATCCACTTGAACCCCGATTTCCCTCCTCAAAATAAAAAGGATTTACCTTGAACTCCACGCAATTAAAACATTCAATAAACTGTGAGTTCCTTCTATGCGTAAGAAGCTGTAGAAAATATAGAATTAAACAAACAAGGACCCATATCTCAAGGACTATGTATTTTTAAATATTTTTCTTTAAAGTGAAACAAACAGTGAATATGTACAGACACCTTAATAAAAACAAAAGGCTTAAGGCAAAAAAAAAAAAAAAAAATCCCATAACCCCAATGCCTTAACACAATTGCTTTCATTTTTGCAAATTACTTCCTAGTCTTCTTACATATGCATATTTTTACTCAGAGACAAGCTGGGTGATGGCTATATGGCGGTTATAATATTCTCTCTACTTTTATGTCTGTAGAGTATCCTACCAGCATATATCACTGTATTTGCCCTAAGGGAGGTAGCATTTGAGGATGGGTGATTTGTATACTTATGAACATTAATATTCATGAATTATACTAATTTAACTACAATAATAAGAGCAGCTAACACTTACTGAAAAATAATTGGGTGTGATATACTGCGCTATTAGCATTATATGGACTATCTCTTTATCCTGCTAGAAACTTTATTATACCCATTTTACAGCAAGAAAAACAGGCTTGGAAAGATTAAGCAACTTGCCTAAAGGTCTCACAACTAATGAATAATGGAACCAGGTTTCTAGTTTAGCTTCTTTCCTTGCAGAAGTGGGCAATAAGGGATAGAGTCCGGGGAATATTATAAATCCTTACTTGGCTTGTTTGGTCTAGGAAGCTTTCCATCCTTTTGGATCTTAGTTTCCTTATTAGTAAAATAAAAAAAAGTTGTACTAAATGATAACTCTAAGGTCCTTTCCAGGTTTACATTTTATCCCTCTCACTTATATCTTCTCAAAAACCTTGTCAAATATTCAGGAATAAAATAGGTTTGAGTGACCATTACCTTCAGCCAGCATATTGGATGTTCTAGGACCAAGTATCCCTGGCAGAACATCAGTAGATCTGATAAAGTTACAACCCACACCAGGGACAGGTTGTCTGTTGCTAAAGTCAACAGACAGTTTTCATTACTTATCGTGCTCCACCTCTCAGCTGCTGGTGACATAGATAACTACCCTCTCTTGGTCTGCCTCTTTCCTGACTTTCAGGCTGTCCCCTGATCTCAATTTCTTTTGCCAACTCCCCCCTGCTACCTTATCTTGAAATATTGGTTTCTCAGGACTTAGTCTGGGCCATTTTCTCTATTCATTTTGTAATTTGCCCAAGATAATCTCATTTTGCCTCCAGTGGCTTCAAATACCATCTAATACTCCGATCATCTTTAAACCAGCCCAGATTTCTCTTCTGAGCTTCAAAAGTGCTTATTAGAATAGGGCCTAGCACACAGTAAGTACTTAATAATTGTTCACTGATATTTTTCTGTTCACTTGACTATCTAGCAAGAATTTCAAATTCAAGATGTTCAAAGTGAACTTACAATTTTTCACTCTAAAACTGGATTTGCTTCTTCTCTCTGTAAACATTACCATCATCTACCTTGTGCCAAAAACGTGAGTCATCCTTGATATTGCCTTCACACTTAATCACCAAGCTTTCACAATGGCACCTCCTAATATCTCTCAAATCCATCTACCGTCCCCTGCCACCACCTAGTATAAGGGCCATTATCTTTAACATGAATTGCCACAAAAACTTCCTGACTGGGTTGCCCATATCCACTCTCGCCCCCTTTCAAATCCATTTTCCATAGTGACCAGAATCAGCTTTCAAAGATGTACATCTGATATTTCATTTGCTTCAGTTCTGCAATGGGTCTTCTCATTGCTTTTGAGATAAAGTCCAAAGTCTTATTTGGCCTCTGTGGTCCTGTAAGATGTGGCCCTTCCCTGTCTCTCCAGTCTTCATGCCACATCCCCTTTCCACAATGGCTAGAAGATCTAGCTTCCTCTTTCCTCAGATCCTTTGCAGATGCTATTCCCTGTTTTGTTTACTCCTCTGTTATTCAGGTCTCAGCTTAAAAGTCTCATTTTCAGGGAGGGTTTTTCCTGAATATCCTGATTGGGTCAGGTCCCTGGGTCATATACCCCGTTGCACCTTGCATAGCTCCTTTTTAAGAATGACCATACCTGTAACTAAATAATCATTTGTGTGCTATCTCTTCCCCCTTCCCTGACTATAAGCATTTGAACTCTCTTTCTATGTTTAGGAAATTCCCTACCTTACAAGTTTGGGGATAGGGAGTACCAAAGCCTCACTCCCATTTTTGAAGCTTCAAAGGCCAGAAATTGGTTCTTGTTTGCAGTCAGGGCATGGGTACATGGCCAAGACTTAGCAATCAGGACCCTCTGGGCTTTGAATTAGAAGCTAATGCCCAAGGACAGCAGGCACTCTACCTTGGTGGTAGCGGACACATCTGGGTTTCAGGAACTGCAGGGATATAGTACAGTGGCAGGCAGAGTTCAGCGCAGGTGGTGCTGGTGATGCACAATACAGCATCCGTGTTTACCAAGCTCAACAGTGGTGCAGCAGAGGCTCCGTGGGCTGGTTCTGCTGTGCGATGCTGGCTGTGTTACGGTCGCTGCGCCTCCCTTTATGCCTGCCTGTTTTGTCAGCTTTGTACTCCTGCCTTCCTGGTCATTCTGTGAGCTATCCAATAAGCTTTCAACACATTCTTTTTTTCTTTTTTCTGCTTAAATCAGCCAGTTTCTGTTGCTTGCAACTAAGAACTCTGACGAGGTTAGCAGAGATCATGTGTGTCCAGTTCAACGCTGTCAAAAGGTTTTGTACATAATCCGTCTGCACATCTCTTCTATAGCCTGGGAGGGCCTCAAAACAGCAACTTTACTCAATCATCTTTGTATCCTCAGTGTTACGTGCCAGAAGAATATGTACTAAATGAATGACGGTATGGGACCCAAGAGCAATGATTTATGGCTGGTTATGGTTCATCCAGCCGCTTGACCTAACTAAGCACTGCCATTACTATGGATAAGACACAGGTCCAGCTTTCAGGACCTCTCAGATCAGGAGGGAAAGACAGGTAAACAGAGTTTTACAATGCCAGGTGACAAGTCCTGTAACAAAGGTATCTACAGAACAGAAAGCAACTAATTCTCTGACTCGGGTCGGGGAAGGCTTCTCAGATGTACCAATGAATGGGACCTGTGAAGATGCTCCTAAGTTAGTGGACAAGAGAGAGGCGGCCAAATCTGTGCAGAACGAGCCGCAGGTGGACGCGTCAGGAGGGGGAAAGCTCCGGGCAGCCTGGGAGGGCACCGTGGCCTGCCCGGGTAGCACAGTTCAGCAGGGGTCAGGAATGGGGAAGTGAGAACAGTGGAGGTGGTGGACTCGCCAAGGAGGCGGAAGCCCTAGCACCAAGAACCCTGGGGTACTCTCGCCAGGAAGAACTGCATTCCTGGCCCATTCCGCCCACGCGTGCCCCCGAGGACGTGACTTCTGGGAATCCCGGCCCCGTCCTGTGTACGACGGGCACGACGACGCAGGGGCCGGCGGGGGACACTCACCTTCAGGCGGGCCACGCAGCAGAACGCGGCCGAGGGGTTTCGGAGGTGGATCCTCTCCGTCAGCAGGTTGCTTCCATAGGCGAAGTACAAAAAAGTCTCCTCCTCCTGACCTCGGCCGTCCTCGAAGCCCGAATTCGCCATGTCCCGCACAGCCCTGGGGTCCGTAGCAGAGGTGTGAGGAGCGGACTGCGAGCGCAGCCCAGTGACAGCCGCACCGGCACCTCGGGGTTAGAGGACCGGCGGGAAGCTTGGGCCGGGTCAGTCGGAAGCCAGCGCTCTTCTGATTGGCTTCCAGCACCCACCGACGTGAGTCGCCCCCTTTGATTGGCCAAGCCTCACTATCTCCTCCGTTGAGACTTTGAAACTCTCTGTCCTGAGGCAACCCTGGACTGATTCCTCATTGAACACGCTGCTCTGATGTCCCGCCCCCTTGCTCACGATTCCCTCTGATTGGCTAGTGGGCGGGCACTACGCGGCGGCGGGTCAGGTCCAATGGGTGGGCTCTGGCTGAGGGTTGCTGTGCACGGCTGGTTTCTGCCCTTTGGACTGCGCGCGTGTGGTTCTTTGGTGGTTTCTGCGCTTTAGGGAGCTCTGGTCGGATCTGAGGCGAAACAGCGGCCCTGGCTACGCCCGGAACGGTTCTCCGCTCACCCAGTAACTCGCCCCGTCCTGCTCTCCCCGGTCAAAGGAGTCGGTCCGGACGGCCAAGTCAGGAGCCGAGAATGAATAAGGACAGACTGGAATATTTTGTGGCAGAAAGTCAGGACGCATCCCCAGAAAAACGAGATCCTTTCAAAAGGACACGAGAGACAGATCGAAGTATCTATCGTTCACTGGCCAAAATTAGATTAATTTGAGTATCAAAAATAACAATGACTGCAAACTGCAAAATGATTGAAAACATTAAACATAAAAAAGTCATTTCCCCAAAAAGAGTAATCCAAATTTTTTTTTAAAAAAAATTTTAATCTCATTTGCCACACTATTGGTGATGACTATTACACCAACGCTATATTCTGAAAAGTGGTAACTTAAGAAAATAAATTAAACGTTTATTCTGCCTTTCTAGTAGCAGTTGTATTTCAAGGTAACCAAATAGCACCAGTTGATGAGGAAACAGTTCTCTTTACAAAAGTATACCAGCTAAATAATGTAAAATGAATGATAGAATTAGAAAAAAAAATCACCATTTTATAGCCCCTAATGAACTAATTAATACCAGCATCATCAAAGTAACCATTTGGTGAAAGGATGTTAGAAAACAGGATATTCACTTGGTGCCAAATTATCCCCCAGGGATCGCTGCTGGTCATCAGGGTAAAAATGTAACCACACAGGAAAATCTTGCCCCTCCCACTTTAACCCAAATCAATCTTATCACCACTAAAAGTAGACAAACCTGATATTAAGGATCTCCCAATGCGATGCAAGATGAAGCTCCAGCATCATCTATGAAGAATTGTTTCCAAAAATCTTTAACCTAAACATAATCATGCTTTTAAATTTATCTTCCTGTCTCAGGAACTGTAAGGATAGAAGAATAAAATGACATCAGGAGGAAACAATCAGAAAAACCCAGAACAAATAGTGGGACATCCTACTGAACAAATGGCTCAGTCTCTTTAAATAAGTCTGTGTCATTTTTTTTTTAAAGGCATACTGAGAAAGGGCTGTTCTATTAATAGATTAAAAGAAATTTAGGAGACGTAATAACCAAATGCATGGTTTCTCCTCAGTTGATTCTGGTTAAATAGGGCAGATATAAAAGATATCTTGGGGACTATTGAAGAAATTTGAATTTGGACTGGGGTATTAGATGATATTAGACAATTGTTATTAAGTGTGATAACGGTATTGTGCTTATGTAGAAAAATGTCTCTATTTTTAGACATGCATTCTGGCATATTTAGGAGTGAAATATTTGATACCTATATTTTTTAATAATTTAGAAATAAGAATACAGAAAGTGTTAAATGTTAGACAGAGTGATATGTATGTGGATGTTCATTATAATAGTCTATCAATTCTTTCTATATGTTTGAATATTTTCATGTTAGAAAAAGAAAAAGAAAAAAGGTGACATGGAAAGCACTTGCCATGTAGTGAGTACCCAATATGCAATCGCACTGTCATTACATAATCTGCAAATAGCAAGATCACACTTCCTCCAACCCCCCAAACATTAAGGCACAACTCGAAATACATATTTGGTCATTTCAGGGAGCAAGTTGCCTTATTGGAAAATCATGCTCTATTGCACCATAAATTTTCAAGGGCTCTACTTTGGAGCATTACCATTTAAACTGTTCTGCTTTAAAATTTTTTTAAATGTCTAAAATGTATTAATTAATTAAACAGATATTTAATTTATTTTCCTATATTCCTCGCTAATTGCTTAATTTCATTACAATTAATTCTTATCAACACTATTTTGCAAAAATTTTCTGAGGTTAAGCATTGTTTTCTTAAACACTGAAAATCTTTCCTTACTCCAAGCATTTATTATGTTTAGCTTCCCTGTGTAGACTGCAGTGTACTGACCCATGTTGGCCAGCAAGCGGCAGCGGGTAGCAAGGCTGGTTTTGTTTTTGTCTTTGTTTTTTCCCAATTTAACCAAAGCCATGTCAGTATTAGTTAACACTCACTGAGCACTTATTAAATGCCAGGCACTGGTCTAAATTCTTGCACATAGTATCTCATTTAATCCTGAAAATATCCCTATATAATAAGTACTAGTATTATCTGTGTTTTACAGTGAGGAAACTTAGGCACAATGGGTTGCCTAATTTGCCCTAGTGGTGGTTTCGGAGGTGGATCCTCTTCGTCAGCAGGTTGCTTCCATAGGCGAAGTACAAAAAAGTCTCCTCCTCCTGACCTCGGCCGTCCTCG